AAATCAGTAATAATCGAAATAATGAATTAGAAATGCGTTTAAGACATTGGAAGAGGCACAAGTGTAGGCGCCATTTGCTAATATAAACAAAATGTATTTTGGTCTCTTTTTTTTAAGGAGTCTTTGCAATGTCTACCAAAATATGGAAATATTTTCGTATGTTCAGACGATTTTTTTAATGCTTGTCTTCTGGTAGATTTATACTGGTTTTTCTCGAAGTTTATGTCAACTGAATTTACTAATCTAAATATCTGTACTAAATCAAGTCTAAGACGTTCAGTTTCAATAGAAAACAGAACAAGGATTTCAAGTCTATTTTTGATTACAGGAATTTTGCTTCCACAATCCTATTCTCGAGACCTTATCGCCATTGTGGGCACTACGAACACAGAACGTGGCCAGGATTAGGCGAAACATCACCAAGGACGATGCCTTCTCTGCTTTTCGCGCTAACATCAGCATCACGGGACCAACACTATTAATTCTACCGCTTTAACACCTTCAAATCACAGGCTGTAATCGATATTTTCCAGAAAAAGATCAGAACTATAAATCTATATTTTAGTTCTGCATAATAACTGTGTCATGGAAACGGGACGAAATATTTCCCCGCACACACACACACACACACACACACATATCACTGGAACTTTCCAATTCTATACATATTTATGTGAACATACAAATTTCAAGACATATATATATTATTGCGTCGGTATTCAGAAGCGAGCTGTTTGGGTGAAAATGCCTGCCCTTTTTCTATTTAGCTTGAATTTTCATTATTATTATTATTATTATTACTATTATTATTTCCTTTGATTTCTGTTGTATACACATTTCCTTCCGGGTCCCAACCAGAGACCTAAGAGATCTAAAGTCAGAAATCGTGATATTGTCTACTGACCATTTTTGTAAAAACATGATCGCACACATTTTACATCGATAAAACTCTTCGTAATGTATAAGCTGTACTTGTGAGTACAATTTTCTGTATTTGTTTAAGACATGAGCTACCAGTACTTCTATGAGTCTATCGGGACCTTTTCCAATAAATATGAGGCCTCGAGTTACAACTGGGATTATTGATGTCCTCATGTGCCACACTTGTTGAGATTTCTACTTCAAGATCCTTGTATTTTGATAGTTTTTTTTTAAGAGTTTCGAAGATACATTAGCATCTCCAGGGACTGCCATGTCAATAAGAAAACACATTCTGTTTTTGTGATGACGATGTCTGGGCGATTAGCTTTGATTGTTCCTTCTGTGTGTATTGTAAAGTCCCATAAAATTGTTACAGATCATATCTCTCTAACTGAGTCTGGGTGATATTCATACCAGTTTCTTGCAGTTTCCTTCCCGTAAAAGTTGCATATTTTCCAGTGCAGATATTGGGCCACTTTGTCATGCCGAGTTTTATATTCAGTCGGCGCCAATATTGCGCAATCTGAGACAAGATGATCAATTGTTTCAGAATCTGAATTTTTAAGTATATCTGCTTGGAAATTTCTAGTTAGCAAGTACTGGTCCTGTGCAACAAGTTATAAAACCATCGGTTTCAACTTTTAACCATGCACAACTGCACTATGGGTTTTGTCTACATCAACTTGTTTGGTACGGACAGAGTATTGACCATGAGGAGGCTTATCTTGCCATCGTTTCTGCGTTTGGTACATTGCATTTGATTTTTGCTTTCTTTTTTATGTTCTTTGTTGCTGCAATATGTGTATTATGGTTTTTGCACTTCTTCGTTCACTTGAAATTCTCTTTTTGAATTTGTTTGCTTCTTTTATTACGGAATAGAGTTTCTTATTTCTTTTATGTTCTTTGACACGGATCAATATCCAGTCTTCTATAGTTTCTAAGTATCTATTGTGATTTTCAAGACATTTCTAGCTGAACTAATCCTCTGCCTCCTTCGGATCTGGACACATACAGACGATTAACATCACCCTTCCGATGATGCATGCGATGACAAGTGAGAAGCTTTCTCGCTTTGGCATCTATTCGCTTAATGTCATTTAGGATCCAATTGAAACTGTAGGCAATGCAGGGACGGCCAATGTTTATGGCTGATATTTATTTTGTGAATTCAACTTGGTATTTAACACGAGACGCACACGTTCTTAATTTCTCCCTCATTTCGGTATGCTGTATTGCATGTCATCGCTGACTCTTGGGTATTTATAGGTTTCTTCTTGTTCCAGTTTTCTAAACTTTGTGACAAAATCTAGATCTGTTGAGTATGTTTTTTAATTCTCCCTTTCTTGAATGTTTCTTTTGCACATTTAGATAATCCGAAATCCATACTGATGTCATCACTGAAAACGTTTACTGTATTGAGGATACCCTTCAACTCATTGTCACCGTTGGCAAAGGGTTTGATATCATCCAAGTAGGATGGATGATTAAACACTTTCTTTTTTTTTTACTTTGTATCCATAGTTATAACTGCTTAGTTCACGCGAAAGTGAGATTAAGGACAGACATAACAGAAGATGCGACAGGAAGTATCCTTGAATGATTTCTTGTCGGATATTCAAAGAGTTTGAAGTGGCAGTACCTTTGCTGTGATTTAGGTATAATGTGGTTTTGCACAGTTTCATGCTAGATTTAAGGAAATTTACTCTCACCGAGGAAGCTTTGTACATTTCCAAAACCTTTAGCATCCAAGTGTGTGGTACACTATCAAAGGCTTTACGGTAATCTATCCAAGCTCTGTGGAGGTCTTTACATTTTTTTCTGCAATTTTCCAGGATTGCTTTATTTATTAGTAGTTGATCTTTGCAACCATATGAACTGTTTCAGCACCAGATCAGTTCCAGTGGAAGATTTTTTTTTCATCGAGAAAAGAGTAAGTAAAGTTCGTCAGGACAAGCATGATCAGTTTTTGTGTTGGACAGACATGTTATTGATCTATAATATTTTGAGTCATTTTTTTCACGCATTTTTGGTAGGAGATACGTAATGCCTTTAGTGATCCATTCTAGAATTTCATTCGGGTTATAAAATAGCATAGGTAAAGTTTGTGCAAGGATTTTATGGATTGATGACAGATGATAGAACCAAAATTTTGGTACCTTGACATTTTTAGGGGATTTCCATTTTGAAGATTTTGTTAGAATGTGGCTAACATTATTCTTGGTTATTCTTTTTATTCTTGTATCCGTCATTATTTCTTGTTCTCGTTTGATCCACTCTGCATTGGAATTATAATCCTTTGCGTTGCTCCAAATATTCCCACAAAATGTTTGTACTTCTTCAATAGATGGTGGCTTTTTGACTTCCATAACTGCTTTTCCAAATTCGCTTTAAAAATTCTTTGAGATCATATCTTATTTTGTCGATAGAACCTACAACGCTTTTCATATCGTCTTGTTCTCTGAGACTTTAATTGCACTTTCTTTTTAAGTATTTCTTTGATTGGTGAAATTTCATTTATTGCTTTAATTTTATATTCCATTTTGATCTTCTTACTTTTCCATGTTGAAAAATTTGAATTTTTTGAAATCTCATCTAGTATCGATAACTCATATCTGATTTTCTCAATTTTTCGTTTTAATTTTACCTGCCAAGTGGGCTCTTTTTCTCTGTTGTTTAATATTTTATTTGTCTTAACCTCAAGTTTTTCAGTAGCCGCTAAAAGTTGTTTTATATATGATATTATTGACTTCTGTGATAGTGGCCTGTTCGTTAACAATATTTCTAATAGAGGCATTATATGTTTACACAGTATATTTATTGGACTGTCATATGAATTTTTGTCATAGAATTGTTTAAGTTGCAGCTAGATTTTTCCGTTTTGTTTTCCTTGTTTTGTATCTCATTTATTTTAGTTTGTATCTCAGCCTCCGTCATATCATATATTTCTACTTTTGCCACGTTTTTGTTTTGGATTATGTCTGATTGTACTTTGTATTATGTTTAGTTTTAATTTATCTATTTCTGTATTTGAAAGTCTTTTATTTCGCATAATGACCCTGTGGACATTGGCAAGCATATTTTTTCGATATACGGTTTGATTTTAGTTTTTACCATATCTCTTCATATATGAAATGTCTGATCTGTGATGTTCTTTTGTGGATTTTCCAGGCCATGAAACTGCAGCCCAAAGAGTTATGCCTCAACTGCTGATGGCGGCGCAGAATCTGTTATGGCTGTACAGGCCCAAACAGGAATGACAATCTCGATTGCAACGAATGCATGTAAAGACGTTCTCACCCAATGTTGGCGTGTTGTTTTCTTTCCTTCAAACATGCTTTTCATATGCCCGCCCCGGTGCCAAACTTGCGTTTCTTCTCTCCTCACTCCAGCCCTCGGTGTAAATCGTTGGCTACATCTTCCCTCCGCTCGATGTCCATGTCCATCGCCCTCAGGCCCTTTTTGCAGACGTCCTTGAAGTGAAAATGAGGTTGACCTCGTGCCCTCTTGCCGCTGACCAGTTTCGCATACAGAAGGATATTCGGAATCCACCCATCAGTAGACTGTTACTTCCCGTGTTTTGCTGTCGCGGTGAGGCAACGGTGGAGTAGCCTTTGCAGAGTGCACACCTGGGCAGGTTTTTATGAGACATCGGTGGTTCTCCATACAGTAGGTAATCCCTATCCACATCACCGATGTTGTTCAAGGGAAAGATAGAGTCCAGTACAACTTGGCATCGCCTTCATCGCAGGAGTTGCCAGACGAACATCGGACTGTCTTCCTGATTTGTCCTCAGGGTTTACCCCCGAAGCTTTTCCCATGATTGGGTATGCCCACAAGGCAGCAGATATTTTAAATTTTCCTTCTCTTAGATGGACTACCTTCCTGGTTTAATGAGTTCTATTTACTCGAAGTATGTATATATATATATATATATGTGCATAAACACACACATATATTTTACACTGAAAGTCGGAGTAAACAGTTCGTTATCAAATGTACCACTTTAAGAATTATTATTATTTTAAATGAAAATAATAGAAATCAATAAGTAAGAAAAGAATAAAAGTATAAAATTATCATCAAATATATAAGAACGAACGGATAAGAAAGAAAGAAAGAATAGAAAAAGAAGAAATATATGACAAAAAAGGAAGAAAGAATTGGATGACGAAAAGAAAGAAAGAAATAAGAAAGAAAGTAATAAAGAAAGAAAGAAAGAAAGAAAGAAAGAAATAAGAAAGAAAAAATAAGAAAGCAAAAATAAAGAACGAAAGAAAGAAAGCAAAAAGAAAGAAAGAAACAAACAAACAAAAAAAGAAAGCAAAAAGAAAGAAAGAAAGAAAGCAAAAAGAAAGCAAAAAGAAAGAAAGAAAGAGAACTAGATGGTGAAGGGAACGAACGTAAAAAAAGAAAGAAAGAATAGAAAAAGAAAAAATATATGACAAAAAGAAGGAAGAAAGAACACTATGATGGCGAATAGATAGGAAAAGCCATGATAAAAGAACACAAAGATTATAACGGATAGATATATATTGGGCTATATAATATGGGCTATATAATAGGCTATATAATATGCGCTATATAATAGGCTATATAATATGCGCTATATAATAGGCTATATAATATGCACTATATCATAGGCTATATAATAGGCTATATAATATGGGCTATATAATAGGCTATATAATATGAGCTATATAATAGGCTATATAATATGGGCTATATAATAGGCTATATAATATGCACTGTATCATAGGCTATATAATAAGCTATATAACGTGGGCTATATAATAGGCTATATAATATGCGCTATATCATAGGCTATATAATAGGCTATATAATAAGGGCTATATAATAGTCTATATAATATGCGCTATATAATAGGCTATATAATAGGCTATATAATATGCACTATATCATAGGCTATATAATAGGCTATATAATGTGCTATATAATAGGCTATATAATATGGGCCATATAATAGGCTATATAATATGCGCTATATAATAGGCTATATAATATGCACTATATCAGAGGCTATATAATATGCGCTATATAATAGGGTATATATTGTGCGCTATATAATAGGCTATATAATATGCACTATATCATAGGCTATATAATAGGCTATATAATATGGGCTATATAATAGGCTATATAATATGCATATATAATATGCTATATAGGCTATATAATATGTGCTATATAATAGGCTATATAATATGGTCCATATGACGTTTTCATTCAGCACATATATTTGGGTCGAAATTTTTTTTCTATTTTTGCTTAATTTTCGCTTATTTTTTTATTAAAACAAATTATTTATAAAGATTTATATTGTTTTATAACAGGCCGTGTGTCCTATAGCCCTTGTTGGTATCAAATCTATCGCGGAAAGAAATGTCAACCTAATGTGAGAAAATCTTCTGCCTAGTCAGTTATGAATCGAAAGAGACATGATCGTTCAAGCGCGTATCACGTACGGCACTTAACTGACTGACTGAAATTGTTTTAAATTTAAATCGGTTAGTTAAATTAATTATGAATATTTTTTCCAGAAAATTGAAATTAATGACATCCAAATTTTCATGTTGATTAGTTTAGGAATCAATTTCTAAGACGGTAATTGATGAATCTGGAGCGATATTAGCTGTCAGCTTCACAGAAGTCGTTTTCATAGTTATCTGTATGCGCAAAGAGGGTCAGCATAATGGAGTGGACCTCCTAAGAAAGTCAGGTCAAACGATTCTGACAAAGAAGGTAACTAAGTAACTGAGTAAATCTAGCCCCTGGGTTCCTGATGAATTACTTTTTTAGCTGAAGCTGGCAAGACAAAGAACTATAAGACAAAGTCTGTATAAGACAGCGGTCACTAGCAGCCTATAACAGAGAAACACGGAGAGGGAGAGAAGACCGCTCGCTGTCACGCGAAATGAAACGTCCGTTAGACGGTTTGCCCTGTCGCCTACGCTGAATTATCCTCATTTCTACCTCTATCGTCTACAGCCGAATTTGCCTGCTACAATCTCATCTTATCGTTTTATTTCGTGGGTGAGTATCTGCTCAAAGAGTTATTTTTTAAGCCACAAGCGTTTGACTGGAAGAAACTGTAGCCTGAGAACGAACCTTGTGTATGGCCCGAGTTTCAAGGCTACAAATCGTTTTTCTTATGAATTTATTCAATATATTCTCTATTTTATAATCATTCTTTTAGATCTTAGTACATGCTAAACTCATCAGGCGATAATGATACATCTTTATGTGTCTGTCTGACGTATGGCCATTTTTATTTCATACTTTTTACTTTATTTTTGAAATCCTCTCGCCATTTCCACGTGATGTGGTCTAACGAGCTACATTCCTTGGTTTAGAAGTGTAGTCTATGAAGATAGGTAGGGCAGATAAAAGTTGATCTTAGACTTGAAGAGGTTAAGATGGTAATAGTTGGTTTGTTGATTTTGTTTAGCGGCATATCAAGACCTATATGGGTTAATTAATGCCGAAATATTTTGAACGCAGTTGTATGCCTTCAGCTACAAATAAAATGTATTGTTGGTCATTTTGTTATAAAATTTATTGCGGGTCATTTTGCTTTAAAAGTACATTGTTGGTAATTTTTTTATATAAAAAGGTATTTTTATAACTTCATAGTGATTTTGATTAGGGGGTTCACTATTTTTCTATATCTGGGACCCTAACAGGTGCTACCACCCCAGGTCAGGGTAGATCTGGGAACAACAGCAATTGAGAGGTGATTCCACGCTCCTCAAAATCTCCAATCTTCCAATCAGAGGCCTTGCTTCCAGATATAGTTTATCGTCATGCCCAGGATTAAGGATGGCGATGAAAGCATCCTCTCGGGCGTCTGTTCCATAAAGAAGCGGTTCTTGGTTCTTTCGTCTTGCTAACAGAATGCGAAGTAAATAGGGATGGTTCGTTCAAGTTTAGGTGCCATGGCGTTTTAGTTGTAAAGATCAAAATTGGCGGAATTAAGGAATATGTCACATCAGAAAATTTGCCATGGAAATAGCCAAAGAGTAGGAGAGGATTGCGACATTTCGTCTGTAGGACAGGGGCTGCAGAATGGAGAATAATTCACCATCAAGCCATTTAGACGCTTCTGAGCTTTGTCAAGTGAGGATTGTGCTGTTTCAGCCTAAATATGGAAAGACTACTCCATTTTGGGTCCTGATCTGGATTTTGTAAAGATAGAGCACAGCAGGAGTCAGGTTTGCTAGTTAATAAATAAAATAAACGAAGATTTCGTTTCTGGGTTTATATCAGATAATAGTTGCCTTCAACGAATATTTATTTATAAACTAATTATGTTGGCCATTTGCTAGCATATTGAGTTCTCTTTTTGCTTGAGTCTTACTGTAAAAGAAAAAAATGTGCCAGACTAGAACACGATTGGCAAATATCTACGCAAAATAATTAAACTATATTGGAGAAGATAATCTTCATTTAATTATTATGAATTAATAATTAAATTTAATTTTCACTTTAAATAGCCCTTCGGGTTCGAGAGTTTTAGTGACCGAACGCGACAATGCTCCATTTATCTCAAAGAGATAACAAGTCCGAGTTTTCTTTGGCGAGGAAACTCGTCCGATAGAAATCTCCTGATGTTTATCGTGACAAATTTTCATTCTAGCAAATCTCCAGAGACTGATAAATGCTAGAAAGGCAATATCATCGACATCCATTATCTTCTGTTATCACAGACCTTGTAACATGAAGAATTTTAAAACCGATCGCATGTTCTTCTCGATCTCGAAAAAAAACAAAACATGTTCAGTCGGCTATTTACGTTTGCCTCTAACTACAATCACGACTCTCAGACTTCGCAGAAATTTTTAAACAGCTGATTAAACAAAAAAACGGTAATATTTGTTTTCTGTAGTATCTTTATCATAAGTTTCCTAGAGTGATTTCGTCCAGAAGACATTTGTGCTCTACATAAAGGTGGATAGTTCTTACTGCTTTCATGTATCGTATTCGCTCGGGATGTGGATGATCATGGCTCTCCACAACTTCCTATGCTTTGTATATCTAAGCAACGTTTGTGCCCTTTCTATTCATCCAACTTCCCTGTTCTGTTAACCATTTAGCCAAGCCCATTAGGCACGTTCCTTGCCTTTACCGTATACTATTGCCTTCAATATGTCTTGTGAGTATCAAATTCTCGGAGCCATCTTTCCTCGTTATGTGTTCTAGTAATTTCAACTGTCTCTGTTTAATTCACCTCCCTTCTAAAAATGATGATTTTCTATACATTTTTTTCTGATTAGTGCCTTCATCTTTACTGTTTTCATCACAGTATTTCAGCCGATATATTCTTCAGCCTTTCTAAATGATATGTTTCATTATATGGGTTTTACTAATTGAATCCCCCTTAATCTTATGTGAGGTGTTTTAACGGTAGGTTTAGTTTTAGGTGAGATCTAAATCCCTTCAGAAACAAATCAGAACTGCAAGGTAAGGACTGAGAAATCAGGCTGATGCGAGATTCTTCCCAAAAATCTGACATGAAACTTCGCAAATTCATTCTCTCATTGTTTGTAACTTTAACGGTCACATAGTATACAAGCTCACTTAAAGAAATATTACTAATTACTGAATGAATCGATAGAAGAGTGAGAATTATAGAATGCGCAATGGAGATCCCCTCGGTATCACGTTAGTAAAACCAGTTATCGAGATTTTCAAGATAACTATACAAAGTAACACAGCAAACATGAAAGGTGTTGTAGAGGAAGCAAGCATTTGACAAACTTTCTGTAGTAAAGGTACATTTTGGCTGCCCTCACAGAAGAATTTGTGATAACCCACTATTAATAGATAAAAATATATAGATTATATAGCCTATTATATCGCCTATTATATAGCCCATATTATATAGCCTATTATATAGCGCATATTATATAGCCTATTATGTAGCCCATATTATATAGCCCAATATCTATCTATCCGTTATTCAAGAAGATTCACCTGCCCTTTGACAGGTCTTGTTTTGAATTATGACATATATATATATATATATATATATATATATATATATATATATATATATGACATCTACTCTCCTCACCTGAAAAGTCTGGTAGAGTTATCGGTTTAGTTGCTAATGATCCGACCATACACAAGCGCCAATTTCACTTTAACGAAGTAAAATTGGCGTATCAAGTGGGAATTAATGATTGAACCACATTTTTTAGTTGCTTGATAAATTCAAAAACAAAATAATAATGAAAAATTGAGCGCGATAAATATTATTAACAACTAAACATAATTTAAACTTAGGACTTCCAATATCAACAACAATTATAATGTGGGCAGCACATAGAACTAAAAGGGAATTAATGATATAGTCATGATGTTGATTTCCACATTATATTAAACAAAAGGGTTGGAAGGAAATTCCCATCAACACAAAAAATAGCAATAAAAGTTCGTGCCCTTGTGGAGTTTAATTTATTCAAAAGGTGTTTTAAGAAAGATTTTTTGGTTAATTTGCAGTTTAGCACCCACGCTCAGTTCGCATGTAGAATTTCCAGAATACTTACATTTATGTGTAATTCTACGAGCTTCATTTGAATCTGGCTTAATAAATTTGATAAAATCTACCGTTTTGGAGTTATTAACAGTAAAAGTTCGGATTCATTCGAGTCGTGGGCGGCAGCCATTACTGGCGTTGTTTGCATACATTCGCTGCGGAAAGCTAAATGCGGAAGAATGTAGTTAACGAGATATTTTTTACTGAACTTACTTGTCTGAATTTGTTTCAATTACTGCGTTAGAGAACTATTTACACGCTCAATTGTGCACTGCGTGAGTAATAATCAAGACAAGAAAAGTATTATTATAATTAGCCTAATTAACAGCCTAAACTCTGGGTTAATACCTGAGTTTTAAATTGTTTTAAGTGCAAAAGGCGTGTCTCCTTTTCTGGGTCATCAATAGCAAGTTTACACGACTCGATAATAATTGGATGCTAAGTTCAATGGAGTGTTTAATAAAGTCAAGCCAACATTCAAAGAAACTGGCGCTGTACAGTATTTTGAATATTATCTATCTGAATTACCCTATTATAGACACAGGCAACATAAGACAAGGATGCGTCTTCTCGCCGGACTTATTCAACCTAAACAGCGATGCAATCCTAAGAGAACCAGGATTTATAATTGGTTGTTATAATCTTAACAATATAATATACGCAATGGGCAATATTGATGACAAACTCATGAAGGTAACTACAGAAACTCTTAGAAAAAACAGTAAAGAAAACCTGGATGAAAAACTAAATTAAAAAAAAATGTACGGTTGTCAGTTAGAGGAATGGTCGAAAATGCGATTAACAGATTAGAGATTTCAAAATCAAACCAGTACAGAAATTGAAATATCAGCGAAGTGTTTTAACGGAGGACGAAAAGTATGGCGCTAAAATCAGAAGGTGCATTGGGATAGCGAAAGTTGCCTTCTAAAAGCTAAGCAAAGTATTAAGAAACGAGAAATATTCCTTAGAAACTTAGAAAATAATGATAAGCTGGTGTGGGATATCAATCCGCTATATGGCAGTGAAGGTGAGAAAACAAAGGTGGTTCCACAGAAGGATCGTAATCTTGGATGTGGTGAGCCTGTTCCCCGTGATTTCTATAGGTGATGCTTAATAGACGATAGAAAATGCAACAAAGAAATCCAAAGGTGTAGTGAATAATTTACAAAAGCTAAAAGAAATTTTCAAAAATGGAAAGATATTGTTAGAAACAAAAAAGGGGTGTGAAATTGCTACGTAATATCAATCATTCTATATAACAATGAATGGTGGACAATTTCCTTAGAGACGAAGAGAAGACTTGAGGTAACAGTGGTGTGCCTCTACAGAAGGATGTTGAGAATGCTATAGATGGAGTATGTGAGGAATGAGGAAGTTTTAAGGAAACTGTATACTTATACTTAGAATCGGGAAGACACAGTTGAAACTTTTAGGATACATAATGGGATAGTGTGTTTGACACACCCAATACCAAGTGGGACAGTGGAAAACATCAAGTAACCAACCTTACAAGCTTTTTTAAATGGCTACCAGAGCCAGAAGGGTGTTAAAAAAGCAAACATTAATAAGAGCTACAAATGATAGAAAGTAGTAGCGAGTCATGATCGCTCAAGAGACACGGCACATAAAAGAAGAAGAAAAAGAAGCTCTTTCTACTTGCGAAATTGGTTTGGTATAATCTTCAATTTTTGATCAGCCGACAAATTTGACTTTGCGTTATAGTAAGTTAGGCTTAGTACCCATCAACTGTTTAGAGTATACTGAGCAGTATAGGAAACTTGTCCGAAAGTGTCAGGCTTAAGTGCTCTGTATTAGTGAATGATGTGACGAAGAACAGAGGCCAGGCCGTCAAATGTAAATATTTGCACGGTTATGGCAACTCATCGTATGGACCGAAGGCTGTGAAAATAGTGTGCAAACACTTGATGCACATGCAGCAGATTGATACATCCTGAAAACGCATCTGCAAATACATACAGGCACAAATACACAGGCGAAACATATACATATATGATGAAGTGAGAAAATGAGATAAACAAATTGGGATATATATATATATATATATATATATATATATATATATATATATATATATATATATAAGAAAAATATAGTCTTAAGGTGTGCTATATTTATCAATATCAGAGATAGAGCGTGTGTAAAAGTGAACATTGAAGTCAACATTTAGAGGCGACAGTCTAGCATGAAAGAGATTGTCGCCTCTAAGTGTTGACTTCAATGTTTACTTTTATATATATATATAATTATTTTTAAAAATATGATTTCTTCGCTACATATGAGTTCTCATGTTTCAAAAACAAGAGCCAAAAACTTCAATATAATTATTAAAATTAAAATTGAATTAAAGTATCAAGCTCTGTTTCATCCTCAAATGAAATTTTTGGAATAACTAATCTTGAAGTTTACGCATCTTTATAAGCAGATTCATTCATAGAATTAATTATTATGGAAACGGCTGAAGCAACTAGTCCAATAAGGGACGTAATTTGTATCAACATATCGGTCACCCTCGGGAAGAGGTGAAGCCAGGGCAGGGCGGGGGGTGGTGCTATGTCGGGCATTTCAAAGCGGATTTTTTTTGCATGTTTTATATTTCTGATATAATCTGGTAGTTTGGGGCTCGTTGTTTGCCACGATTAGAATAATAGAGAGTTTGTAGATGGCTTTTTATAATAATAATTTTCTTCTTTATCATATATATAATTCTCTTAATAACTATCATACACTCGCACAAACAGATACATACATACACACATATATATATATATATATATATATATAGAGAGAGAGAGAGAGAGAGAGAGAGGGCTAGCTAGATAGATATGAACAGACTGCCATTGATATTGACAGATTGAGACTGATAGATATATAATCAACAGGCTGTGACAGACAGACACACACACACACACACACAGATATATATATTAATGTATATTTCGTCAGCAAACCATTTAAAAATCTTTCATTAAATACGGCAGATAAAAATTAACTAAATCTTCCTTGTCTACCGTATTTAATGAAAGTATCCTTATTAAAAGAAGAAAGAAAATTACCATGTTTATGCATATTCCTTTTATTCCGAGTACTTTCGACATTAGCACAATGTTGTCATTTTCTAAGACAAAAAATTTCTGTGGTCATCATTTTCCGAAGAGAGAATTGTTGCATTCAACTGAAATAAAAAAAAAAACACTACAATTTACGACAACATGCTGTCCACATTTGCAATTTAGGAAAATTCTGGTTGAAAATACATCAATACTTTTTCATGAAAATAATAAACATTGAAGCTATCTATATCAAAAATTGAAACCAAACCTTAATAAAATTAATTATGAATACTGCACAAATGTCTTATAATGCTTACAGTAGATAGTTTAAAAAATACCTTGGTTTTAACTAATAGTTTTAAATAGTTTTTTTTTCATTTTTTTTAAATATTTAGACATTTCAATAACTTATTTACCTCCCTTGACATTGGCACATGTATCTACATAAAAAATGTACAGTACATAACCTTAGCATTTTTCATTTCACACGTAAAATTTAATTTTCAGATGAACAAAACAATTTTGTCTCAGAAAAATGATGACCACAACAAATTTTGTCTTAGAAAAAGCAAGACACTGATGACGACATTTTGCATATGTCGAAAGTACTCGGAATAAAATGAATATGCATCAAGATGGTAATTTTTCTTTTCTTCCTTAAATAAGGATACTAAGAAACTTATAACATATATATATATATATATATATATATATATATATATATATATATATATATATATATATATATATATATATATATATAGAGAGAGAGAGAGAGAGAGAGAGATAGATAGATAGATAGATAGATAGATAGATAGATAGATATAAAATTAAAATTACTGTGATAGATAATGAATAGACTGCGACAGACAGAAAATTATATTAAAATCTAGAAATACATAGAAACTGCCCGGTAGAAAAAGATATAAGACTTGTGTCCTACTTATTCAATATCGTAGAGAGAGAGAGAGAGGTGGGGGCATGTGTGTGTTTGTGAGAGAGAGACAAACAGACAGACAGGTGAAGATAGAAATAAATTAAGAGAAACAGAAGAAAAGATAAAGAAAGGAAGAGATATGAATCGGCTGAGGTGATGATTAGAACCTCCCAAGGTCTTTTGCATACAAAGTTAGACAACTCTCTTTTCCGGATTCTTTTGCTGCACGCCCAAAGATGGAAACCGTTAAATAAAGAGAACACACACAGATAATATTAACATATACGTTTCCATGTTAAGATGTATCGACGTCATGAGACACACATATGTAATGACAAAACATACGCATAGTCACATCAATAAGTTCGTAGCCTGATGATTCAAAAAGTATTTATTTTACACGAATTAGATTATTTTTTTTTGTATTTCTTCTCAATGCATTTAATTAAGTTGTACATATTAATAACATAGACAGAATAATATATTATTAAAATTCAGATCAAAATTAAACTAACAATTCTATCAAGCGAAGAAATTATTCTTTTTAATATCATCTCGAGCTGGCCACTCGTATTCGAGGTATTCGTCAAGTAAGGTGGCTAGCCAATCCCTATTGCTGACGCTTGCTCAGGTGCATTTTTATTTATTCAATATCCACAGAGCCTACTATGCTGGGCAGACATTAGTTATAGTTTATGGGAAAAAGCGTGTTATCTAGCGTGATCAGCAATTTGAACAAGGCCAGCACGCTCAAGCCCTCGGCCACGATGACTTGTGACTTCGTGTTAGGATAGCTATCGAGGGCCCTCAAGAGTTCCATCTACCCAATTTCACTCACAAGGCTTGGGTCAACCCACCCGTGGTATGGTTTTTAGACACTTTCCAAAGGTGGGATCGACGCCTCCAGTCCGAAAATATCACGAAGTCTCCTTCCTGACAAATCGACCATGGTGAGATTCGAACCCCGGTCTCATAGTCAGAATGCGAACGTTTTAAACACTTGGTCATATTAACATAATGTACATGCTATAAACACACACACACACACACACAGATACACATCTATATATATTAATATATACGTGTGTATGTATACAAATTTAACCTCTAAACACACACGCGGGCACACACACACACATGCACACACATACACACAGATATATATGTGTGTGTGTGTGTGTGTGTGTGTGACTGTGTGATTTACTAAGCAGAGTTTAGATGGGGCCCAAAGCCGAAAGTAGGAGGCCCCCAGTGAGGATCGAACTCATTATTCACTCGTAAATGTTCTAGCGGGACAAACTTATTAACCATTACACCACACCGAAGTGCCGACACACACACACACACACACACACACACACACACACACACACACACACACACACACACACGCACACACACGCAAGCCCACACACATGCACACCCGCACGCACACACGCACGCACACACACGCACGCACACACACACAAGTGCGCGCGCGCGCACGCACACATATAACAAAGAATATGCTTCGCCAAAGAATGGTCGGAAAGAGTATTTCTAGATGTTTTTAAGCGAAAAATTTTTGTGATAAGAGAGCCCAATTTTTTTACAAGTGCGTTTATCCGTGATGTCTATACCTATTTGTTGTACTAGAGTTAATTCCCCTTGTATTAGCGATTTATTTAGAACTTAATAAAATATGCCATCATATTACCATCAAAAGAAAGAAAACATTACAAATTGTTGCATAAACAAAGGATAAAAATGAAATAATGAATGCATTATTTTGTACAAAATTTCATCATTATATATTATGGATTTATATTTGAATGAGAATCTAATGGAATGTTATATATATATAAGACAATTTTCAAAACTCAGATGGCGAAATAAGAATTTTCCAGCATTTATTGCATCAATTGAAACAGTTGCGGCGAATGACTATCTAAGCGTAGCTTAGATGTGGCACAATGCCGAAAGTATGCGTCCCCACCCACTGTGAGGATCGAACTCACTATTCAGCCGTAATTGACCTAGCGATATATATATATATATATATATATATATATATATATATATATGTTTTCTCGTCGGTGTCGATCCTTCAAATCTACAAATCAACCATTCGCCCTTTCATGGAGTACTGCTGCCATATATAGTCTGGAGCCCCTTCTGTTTGTCTCAAGGGTCTTGATAAAATCCAAAGACGGATATGCAATGTAATTGGCCCTGATCTGGCATCTCGGCTGCAGTTGCTCTCTTACAGACGTGCCGTCGCCTCCCTCTGTCTTTTTTACAAATACTTTCATGGTAACTGCTCCGATGAACTGCTTTCGCTGGTTCCCAGACTTCATGAATTTAAGCGTTCTACTAGGCTGGCATTTCGCTCACACCCTTTCATTGTTGAAACTGTTAAATGTCTCTTCTACTTCAATGGCTTCATGTCTCGCCTAGGAAACTCCCTTCCCTTTTCCTGTTTCCCTGATAGCTATAATCTCTAACTATTCAAATGTAATGTCAATCGACGTCTCCAGATGCCTTGATCTATCCCGTATCCTTCTCTTAATCCTTTCCTCCATCACTCCTATTTGCTCTCAATCCAACTATCTGTAAACCCTTGCGTGCTAGTGGCTTCCCGGCTTGCTTGGGGTGAAACGCTTATATATATATATATATATATATATATATATATATATATATATATATATATATATATCGGAGGAGCATTTTCTTTAATAAGATTTCTCGAATGTTCAGCAATCTAGGAGATGAAATAAAAATACTGCTTGAAAAATAATCGGGCGTGTATTCAAATATGCCTATCCAACAAAAAAACTAACCTTTAAAGTAATATATATATATATATATATATATATATATATATATGCTCCTGAAAAATTTATTTCGGTTGAGCTCTCTAGGGAGGAAGTGTTGGTTTGTAAACAGTGACTATTACGGCTAATAATGCAAGACTCTTCGGTAAATCGAATTGAGTTCTCTCAGTCACTGTGTGTTTATCTAAAAAATAAATACACTTAAATTCGCCTTCATCCTTGCCGTGTTTGGTAGAATCCCCGACTGACGCCAATTCAGTCGGGTTTCGATTCTAGCTAGCGGCAACCGGATGTCTAGCCACACTGATGACAATATATATAAACCTAAAGAGCCAGGCAAACCTACCTAAGTTTCACCTAAACGGATCCTCATGGCCATCATCGCCCTGACGATTCGTTTAGGTGAAACCTAGGTAGGTTTGCCTGGGTCTTTAGGTTTATATTAGGATTGCTCTACTTCGTGTATTGAGCACTTTACGTAGTTGCATTTACTCGTTTTGGAGTTTTTTTTTCTTTAGACTCTGAGCTTGAACTCTGGACGATTGTTTTCGCCTCAAATTCATGTTCTTAGTTCTTTACTTTTTTTATTCCTCATTTTTCCTTGGGTACTAGTTTGTTCTTCTACAAGCCTACATACCCAATATTTTTCCAAGCGAGTACCACCATTTATATATATATATATATATATATATATATATATATATATATATATATATATATATATGTGTGTGTGTGTGTGTGTGTGTGTGTGTGCATATATATATATATATATATATATATATATAGTAGTTTTAAGTTACGTAATATTTATGGGCAAAAGTGTTCAATATAGGGCATGTCTATATATGAAAGTGGACTATGAGATCAACATCGAGTGGTGACTTTCTGATTCCTGCTTGACTGTAGCATCTAGCCCTAAAGATTGCATTCAAACATGAAACAGACAGTCGCCTCTGTGTATTGACGTTAGAATCCACTCACATATGTCTATAAATACATTGCTGTTTAGCGTAGTCTGACACAAGAAAACGGTAGAAGAATATTCACTGATAGTCTACTTCATTGACGAATACTCTGCAAGATGAATTTGATATCGTGCTAGATGTTACATTCAATCAGGAATCAGAATATCACCACTCGGTGTTGAAACAAACCAATCTTGTGGGGCACCCAGTGACGAACAAATTCGTTACTCAGTCATCACTGTCCATCAGTGCAGCATGTTAACGAGACGCCTACCGTTATTATGATAGTATTTGCATATGTTTATGCATAAGGGCCTTGAATTTGGTGTGACGTTGTAAGCATGTGTGTAGACGTAGAGTGATGGTGATTTGATTCCGTATTAGTAAAACTGTAGATATAAGTTGCACGAGCCGGTTGCCATAGCAACACACATTGTAAGGGTTTAGAGGCGGGAAGAGGAGGTGATTACTGCTGCTGCTGCTGTTTGTTCTATAACAGGGCGCGGAAAATCAATAGTCGATTCGATCAGATATCGAAAAAAGAATGATGGAATTTGTTTAAAGTGATTCATTATGAGGAAGAGGAAAGTGAACCTATAAAGAGAAAGAGTGGGAGAAAAAAAGAGAAAAGTGACAGAAAGAAATAAAAATGAGAGAAAAAGCGAGAAATGGAAGACAAAATTAAGCGAATATCTGGAGAAAGAAATAAAGACGTCATTTTCATATAAAAATAGTAAAATACCCTTCCAAAGAGAGGGGGGGGATAAATAAAAATGTAAGTGAAAAGAAGAAAATAGAATAAAAAGGGGTCAGTAAAATAAGGAATGAGAGGAAATGAGGAGATTTAGAAGAAGAGGAAGAAGAAAGATAATTGTAGAAGAGGAGGAAGAAGAAGATGACAGAAGAAGAAGAGGAAGAAGACGAATATGATAGAAGAAGAGAAAGAAGGTAATGAAAAAAGGAAAAAGATAATCGAAAAAGAAGATAGAAGAAGAAGAGAGGAAGAAGATAAAGAAAAAAGAAATAAAGATAATGGAAAAAAGAAGAAGAAAAAGAAGAACGATTAGAGAAGAGGAAAAAGAATATAATGAAAGAAGAACAAAGGGTAATGGAAGAAGACGAGAGTAGAAAAATATAAAAGAACAACAAAAATATGATAGAAGAAGAAGAGGAAGAAGTAAATAAGATAGATAATAGAAGAAGAAGAAGAAGAAGAAGAAGAAGAAGAAGAAATAAAAGTAATGTAAATAGAAGTGAAACAATATGCATGAGAAATAGAGAGAAAAGATTTTTTTGCATGTTTTTGAAAGAGACATCCAAAAAGAAAAAATGAAAAATTCAAGGACAAGATGATATAGAGTAAAAAATCACAGAATAATTTACAGATATCGATATAAAAATGCGAGACCAGTAAGTCAGCATCCCGTTTCACTGACAGCCATATTGAAAAAAGAAACCGTGTAAAACGAACATATGACTAAGGTGACATATTTAAGGTGACATATTTTCTCTATATTGAATAAAAATCTCAAAATATTCGAGAGAAAATGAAAATTATTGATCATTGTCCAAATGTATACATAGTTGATTTTAGCCAAATAAAAATGGTTTTCTTAATGAGAATACTTAATCTCGGAATTTAAATAACTTTTTTCAAATAATTCAAATAAAAGAACTTTGAAGAACAAATCGTCAGAAATACTGTGATAAAAATACCAAAGATATGTCTATTGTCAGACAAATTCGTAAAATGAAAAAAGGTGTGAGCGTAGTTAAACAAAAAGGACATTAAATTATAAATTTGAATTGCAATCAACTGAAATAATAGACAAATGCAAAGTAAAAGCGGCTGCTTAACAATTTTATTTAATTTGTAAAAACAGCGAGCTTCAAACCTGAGAGAGAAAATGACTCTAAAAGCCAAAAACTAGCTTTAATGTTGAAAATCAAATGAATGCCCAAAAGCAAGCGTTTGTATATTAATAGACATGAGAATCACAGAGAATCATTTAAAATTGTAGAAGACTTTCCAAATAATAAAAAACACTTCCTTTACGCAAGTTCGCTTTAAGCTTTCCCTTTTACTAATGACTTACATTAATACAATTTAATCTCCCTCCTCCGTTATCCAAAATAAAAAGTAAAAGAATAACCCTTGATCTTCTACGTTGATGTCTATGTTGATTGTTGCGATAGACGTTAAAGGCTTGAAACAACAACAGATTATAGCCTGTTGCGGGCTAGTGTATGAGGCGAGAGATAAGATCAAAAGAGGTTGCGAATAATTATCGCGGAGGATTTATAGTGCCGGAAAGCGTCACCCTAGCAGCGGTTTCGAAAAGTAAGAGGTGGTAACCCACAAGCCTATTGCTTGATTCTACAGTTTAGGCAGGCAATCAAAATATCATGTAAAGTTGCAATAAATCTGCGTCGTCTTTTAAAATTAAACTCATAACCCATTCTGTTCTTCTATCCAATGATATTATTTCACTAACCCGATTTGTTGTATTTTTGCGGGGATAAAAAATACAGGAGACATTAGTTTCAGAACGTCCATCGTGTATATATATATATATATATATATATATATATATGAATCAAAAGGTGCTAAAATTGTCACACATACAAATATATATATATATATATATATATATATATATATATAAATAATGGTGATAAAAATTGTCATTTTGACACAGTTCCACACATACAAACGTATATATATATATATATATATATATATATATATATATATATATATATATATATATATATATATATTTATATATATATATATATATATATATATATATATATTAATACAGTTATAAAATTGTCGCTTAGCTGATTGATGTTACCTTCAGTATCCTGATTCTACAGTTTCGTATTCATAGACGGACCCTCCAGCAATCGACGCAATCCACTCGTCAGGGGATACAGCAATTGACTGTTTATTTTCTCGTTTTTCTTTTATATTGAGATAAAAAAATTAGTATTAGTACTTTCTAGTATTGAATGGGGTTTCCTTCCTTTACTTTAGTTTGAGGTAGTGTGGAATATCAACATCTTGATTATATCATTATTTTCGTTACGAGTTAAATGTGCCATCCATTTTATTCGTTTCTTCTTTGTTGAAAACCGTCAAATAATGTGATTTTGGTTCTCTGTCGCAGTTCTTTGTTCGTGATTCTGTAGCGCCAGTCAACAAGGTTGGAAGAGGAATTGTCCTCAAAAACAGTGTATGTGTGTGCATGTATGTGCGTGCATGTATGTGTGCGTATGTATGTATGTGTGTGGGAGGTTCGTATTTATTTATTCATTTTTGACATGATCTCCTTCTTTGCCGACTCATTTCAGCTGCAAATATTAATCACACAAATTTTACATCATAGAATGAAATTTTCCGATCAAGTTTTAATGACTACGAGGCAATCATCGGACATCGATCTCCCCTATGTGTATATCTCCGGTGAGAAATATTTCACCAAGCATGTAAGACCAAAGTCCTATATATAAGCTGGGTGTATTTTTTTTTTTTTTTTAGAAAGTATTCATTATCGATGATTATGGAAAGAAATTTCTTTTTTTTAACTTGACTAAATTAGAACATCATCCTGGGTTATATATAGTAAAAAATATTTTCTTACTATGCTCGTTAATTGCTACTAATATTACAATGAGTCGATGAAATGGAGTTATACACATTGTGTGCCACCAGCTTTCCAATTAAGAAGTAATTATCTTCCAGATTTGAAAATCAGCATTTTACTATTTTATCAGCTTTTATTGGACTGGAAACCTGACCTCGGGCACTTTTGGAACATAATTATGTTCCATACTTGAAAATCAGCATTTTACTATTTTATCAGCTTTTATTGGACTCGAAACCTGACCTCGGGCACTTTTGGAACATAATTATGTTCCATACTTGAAAATCAGAATTTTACCATTTTATCATCTTTTATTGGACTTGAAACTTGACCTCGGCACTTGGAATATACATGTCTTCCCGAGCTGAAAATCAGAATTTTACCATTTTATGTACCTTTATTGGCCACAAAACCTGATCTCTTGTACTGTTTAGAAACACGAAGTTATCTTGAGTGCAGAAATATTCAGTGTTCCTGTTTTGACTGATTTAAACACTGTATAAATACATTAATTCAAGAATAAATCTTTTTTCTAAAAACAGACAATATTTTCCGAACAGACTATGAGAGAGAGGAATGTGAACAAATTGACGCAAGGTTTTGATAAAATCAGGAATATATGTCTGTAGATGAAGTCCAAATCGAAATACCTTCAAGTCGGTTAAACCATTTCACACAGACGTCTCAGATCGGGCGTGTTCCCCACTGCCTTAACCGGGTATTGAACTCACATTCTTTGGGTCCTGTCACTGGATCTAACTTTCAGAGGGAAATTAACAGGAGATAACTGATAACTGATATCTATTAAACACGGCACGTGGGACTAGAACAGTCTACCCCAGTGAGCGAAATAAAGGGTTCAGTTCGACATTCCAACCACCTGAAGAAGGCCGGAGCGTACAACGGCCGAAACGTTATAATAAATATGGCGACAAAGATAAGGACAATAGTCCGAATAATGTAAATAGGGTACATAATACCTAATCTCAGAAATATAGACAGATACTGAAGGACCGGAGCGTTGTGATAAATATAGCAACAAAGATGAGGACAATAGTCTGAATAATGTAAATAGTGTACATAATACCTCATCTCAGACATATAGACAGATACTGAAAGGCCGAAATGTTGTAATAGATATGGCGACAGAGATGAGGACAATAGTCTGAATAATGTAAATAGTGTACATAATACCTCATCTCAGACATATAGACAGATACTGAAAGGCCGAAACGTTGTAATAGATATGGCGACAGAGATGAGGACAATAGTCTGAATAATGTAAATAGTGTACATAATACCTCATCTCAGAAATATAGTCAGATATTGAAAGGCCGAAACGTTGTAATAAATATGGCGACAGAGATGAGGACAATAGCCTGAATAATGTAAATAGTGTACATAATACCTCATCTCAGACATATAGACAGATACTGAAAGGCCGAAACGTTGTAATAGATATGGCGACAGAGATGAGGACAATAGTCTGAATAATGTAAATAGTGTACATAATACCTCATCTCAGAAATATAGTCAGATATTGAAAGGCCGAAACGTTGTAATAAATATGGCGACAGAGATGAGGACAATAGCCTGAATAATGTAAATAGTGTACATAATACCTCATCTCAGACATATAGACAGATACTGAAAGGCCGAAACGTTGTAATAGATATGGCGACAGAGATGAGGACAATAGTCTGAATAATGTAAATAGTGTACATAATACCTCATCTCAGAAATATAGTCAGATATTGAAAGGCCGAAACGTTGTAATAAATATGGCGACAGAGATGAGGACAATAGCCTGAATAATGTAAATAGTGTACATAATACCTCATCTCAGAAATATAGTCAGATATTGAAAGGCCGAAACGTTGTAATAAATATGGCGACAGAGATGAGGACAATAGTCTGAATAATGTAAATAGTGTACATAATACCTCATCTCAGAAATATAGTCAGATATTGAAAGGCCGAAACGTTGTAATAAATATGGCGACAGAGATGAGGACAATAGCCTGAATAATGTAAATAGTGTACATAATACCTCATCTCAGAAATATAG